CACACACACACACACACACACATCAGAGACACACCGAGACACACACACACACACCACAGACACACCCACACACACACACACACACACACACACACATACACATACACGCACGTTGTTTTTTATGTTTTCTGGGGACGCTCCATAGGCGTAATGAATTTGTACTGTACAAACACCTACCCATCACACAAAAATCTCTGCATATGCTTACATTTTTAATTAAATATTGTTTGTAAGTGATCTTAATTATGAGGACTCAAAAATGTCATCATAAACACATTTACGTCGTTATATCAGAGTAATACCCATGCCATTATATAAATTTGCATCCTGATAAGTCATATAAACAAGAACATACACACACATTTCGAGCTAAAGAGAGACTTATCTCTATTTTAAATAATATGGTAATAAAATATGACATTATAGCAACATGTTACTGAAGCAAATCATTTTTCATACATTTAAACATGTATTCAACATTTATTTAAGCTTATTGATCTTATAAAACAACACTATTCTCTTCTTTTAATGAAGATAGTAGCAAATAAAACTGTAATTATATATAACACGCTGTATAAAATAAACATTTAATATAGTTTTAGGTCACAATAAATATGAAAAATGATGCCTTACCTTTTTTTAGAGTGCTAAGAGATAGAACTTTACGCAACGATGTCCAAACATGAATGAAATGCTTCCAAAATAAAATAAAATAAAACAAAATAAAAATGTTTTAAGTTGAATAAACAAAATCTCACAGGTCCTCGTAGGAGTATTCTCCTATATGTGAAACTTAGGTCACAATAAATATGAAAATGATGCCTTACATTTTTTAGAGTGCTAAGAGATAGAACATTGCACAACAATGTCCAAACATGGATGACTGATTTACAAAATAAATAAATAAATAAAAAGTTTAATTTGAATCATAACCAAAACCTAGCAGGTCCTCTCCGGCGTACTCCCCAATGTGAAACTGATGGACCCTCACAGAGAAGGGTTGGTGAGGGAGGAGTTAGACCAGATGATCTGAGATGTTATTCTGTTAACCTTTTTTCAAACCAAATGTTATGGCCGTGTTAAAAATTATTTCAAAGCCTAATCTTATGACTTTAAATAAATATTTGGTAGAATCCTGTGGTTTTCACTTACACTGTAAAAAAAAAACGTTAAATTTACGGTAAAATACAGTAAGTTGACTGTTAGGTTTTACAGTATTTTGCTGTTTTCTTTTCTTGATTTTACAGTGAAATACCGGCAGCTGTGGTTGCCAGTAATCTACAGTTTTTTACAGTTTGCTTCCGTAAATTAAATTAACAGTATATTTCTGTTAAAAATACATTTCACAATGTGTTTTTCTTCATATCACACATTTAACCCCTTTAATCCCACAGCAAAATCCTCAGTTTTAAAGAGCACTTATATGTGTCCACACAACAAGAGTGTTGAAGTGACGCTGAAGCGGTGATGAAGTTAATGAGATAATTAAATGAGGATTGAGCATTAGTGATGAGCACCTGTTAACAAGCAGAATCACTGAAGGAAAGAGAAACAAGAGCAGAGAAACACAACTTACAGCCAAAGCCAAAGATGAAATCAACTGAAAATAAAACACATTAAATTTATCAAGATCTCAACAGAGGAGGATTAAACAGCTCCACAAACAGCATCACCAGCTTCTTATTACTAACCAGTGTGACTTTATTTCTGTCATATGTGTACAAAAGCTCTTATTGAGATGTTAGGTGTTGTACTTTCATTTGAAGTCACCATAATGGCGATCGGTGTTTGCTTTAGTTGGGCTCTT